GGGGTCCCAAGGTAGGTAAAGGAAGTCATTAGCATCAGAGAGACTTCTGTACGTGCAAAGATCAGTAACTAAACAATGTGTTGGGGGCATATGAAAACATAAATAATAGGAAGGATGTCAGTTGGGCACCTATACTTACCTTCTCTCTTACCAAAAGAATAATACTGCCACCTTGTGCAACTGCTCCTTGTTCTAAACAGGTCAAGCCTCCTGTGGAAAAAATAGTACATGATCATATAATTAAAGGCTGAGCCATAAGGCATAAGACCAAAGATAGGGGCTGAATTAAGAGTGCATGGGCAACAATTTCTTAACTTACATGCGTTTGAACTTCTGAATCTAAATATCTTTTGACAAGTTTTTTTGGGTGGGGGGAGGGGGAAGGGAGGTATGCTGTGACTCCCTAGGCCTTTTTTTTTTTTTTTTTAAGGAAAAAAGATAAAACCAAAACTCATTTTCTATTTGTTAAGTGTGAGAAGAGTTCCTGATCTATTTGTTAGGGGGATGGGGAATAGGGCAGGCAGGGAGATGTGGCCTTTCTACACTTCCACTACAGTGGATCTAGCAGAGCCCATATGTGGATGCTCCCAGAGTAGTGAAAGGTAGAGATGCTGCTGGTTTGGGGGTGTAGGCCTTCCTCTTTGAAATGTTCACTTTCACCTGTTGTTTTGACAAGCTGCCATAGTTCTCCTGAAGAACCCCGGCCATGTACAGGACAGGGAATTTTTAACAGGTTATAACTCAACTAAGCTCACCAGGAATAATATAATATGGTAAAGAAAAGGCATTTCCTTAGGTTGGAGGTTTCTTCCTTACCACTTTCAAAGGGGTGCTGCAAACAGTGCAGGTGTTCAGGCCTTTACAAAGCTTGAAAGAATATTGCATCAAGGAAACTGTTTGATAATTTGAATGTAAGGGTTGCTGTCAGCAGCTTGGATAATATGCTGTCTGTTCCTGAGCATGCCAGGACCTCTCTGTTTGAGGTTAGAAGAAATTTCCCAAGTGGCTAAACTATGCAAAACTTTTAATCTATCAAAGACATCACCCTTAATAGTATGTGATGTTGCCACAGCAGTTGAGTTAAAATTATTGAAATGACTAAATTATTAATAAATAAACTTCAAAACAACTGAAAGATTTGTATTTACAACTCAGAAAGGCAGAGCAACTTCATAAATTGTTCCAGAAGTAGATGCAAGCTGATATCATCGACTATATAGTTGGTCCAGTAAAAGATATCACAAAAAGCTGTTCCTTTTCTTACATTTCCTGGACTATCACAGCCACAACACTGCAACCCAACTCCCAGAAAAAAAGGCCATTTTATTAGAAATGATCAAAATTAGGGGGCAGAGCTGAAATTGAAACAGATGGAACAAAAAACAAAAACAAAAAAACAAACCCCCAAGATTAAGGCCTCTCAGAGATTTTCATGACAAAGGTAATAAAGGCAGATTAAATGGTGGTTGGGCTTCTAAAAAAGACAAAAGAAAATATTTAGAAGGACTTACAGCAAACAGGGCAGCAATAAATAAAAGCAGAAATTCACACCTTTTATAAATCTTTGCATACTTCCCAAACCCTAACACATCAAGAATTAGGGAGTTCCTAATAGTGAACAAAAGTCTAAATTGAAAAGTTATGCAAGACAAAATCCTGGAAACCATTAAAATTCCTTCCTAATAACAAAGCCTTGGGTCCCAAAGGCTACCCAAATGAAGTTTATAAATGATATTCTCAAGAAATTGCCATCTTGAACAAGGTCTGTAATCAATATTGGATTCCAGATCCTGCCCCCAACTTCCTATGATACAGTAATCACCCTTTTTTTTTTTTTTTTTTTTAATAAAGTCAGAGGGGAAGACTAACATGAAAATTACAGGCTGATTTCTCTGTTAAATGCAAATTTCAAAATCCCATCAAAAACTATAGTCAACAAATAAACACTGCTAATTGAACCGTGATAAATCCAGATCAAGTTGATTTATTCCTGACAAATTTGGATTGGAGAACATCAGAAGAAACAAACGATAACATACAAAACAAAGACCTCCAAAGAACAACAGCTAATTGTTTTCATTAGATGCAGGGAAAGCATTTAGCAGGATTGAACTGCCTTTTCTATTAGTCTTTCAGTAAAAAAATGGGTTTTACTGGAAGTGTTACTTGAATTCTTTATAAATTGTAGATTCTAATTAACAATAACCTCATTGAGCCTTTTGGGTTAGAGGGGTACAAGGACAGGGTTGTCCTCTCCACTGTTGTTCAAATGAGCTCTTGAACCACTAGCTCAAAGTATCAGAGAACAAAGATAAGAAGAGTTATGCTGGCAGGAAGGAAGCTTAACACTGCATTATAAACAAATGATTTCTCTCTCTCTTTCTATAGACTATCTATCATCTGCATATAATACAATCTAAAGTAAAATGCAATGTAATATCATCTCCATATAATACAGATCTGTTTGGCAGATAGATAGATAGATAGATAGATAGATAGATAATCTCCCAGCCAAACAGATCTGTACCTGAAGATGTAAGAACTATCAAAGCCTATGGCAATCTGTCAGTTATAAAATAAACCATTATAAATCCTCTGTATTGATTTTTGCCAATATAAATAGCGATGAGATCTCTATAGAGAATATAATTCCATTTTAAACAGAACAAACTGAAATAGAGTATCAGGGAACTAAAATTACAAGACTCCAAGTCTTAAAAAAAAACAAACAAACATTGTACCTCTCACTGAACAGGTTAAAAAAAACAAGCAGAATTCTTGGCAAAAACTTCTAAAAAGTTGGATGAGTAAAATCAACACAGTGGAGAGGATGGACCTCCCTAAAATTTTATTTCCATATATACCACATACATACATACACACACACACACAAATATACATGTATATACATATACATAATGATCACCTTGCCCTATATTTTTAAAAGTTTGCAAAGAAAAAAGTTGTTGACAACTGTGTGGCAAACAAGTCAAGAATCAGTAGAGAACAAATGCTGAATAGTAAAGGGACTCTGGCTGATTTTTAAAATATATCACTGGGCGACCACAGAACCATTGTAGTGTGGTGTAATCCCTCACTAAACAGGGATTTTTCAGGCTGAGGACAGAGTTCATGGAGATTGTGGGGGTTAGATTGAATTAAAAATAGCCACCCAAACTAATGCAAGTCAGGATGGGGGGGCTATAAGGGGGGAGGATCAGGGGGCAAGCAGGATCTGCAGGAACAATCAGGGTCCACAGGGAGACTGGGGGGGAAAAACAGGCAGTATCTAGAAGGGATTGGTGGGGTCCAGGAGGGTTTGGCAGGATAAGTGGGGAGGAGGAGGTTAACAAGGTCCCCCTTGTAATCTTACCCCATGCCTCCTTTCCCCCCAGCCCCAGACTTGCTTCCACTCATCCTGGCATTGGCAAATGTTGATAAAACCAGCACCAGGAGCAGCTTGTGGGATGAGGTTTGGGAAGGGGGGCATCAAGGGGCTGGGGAACTAAAAGTAGCTAGGTGCTACAAGGGTGGGTAGAAAAAGTGTAGTGCTGGAACTGGGGCCAGAGGCTAAGCTTTCCCAGCCATGGGGCTGCACTGGGAACTGTACAGAAGTTTGGGAAAGTTGGGGTGGCCATTTTTAGACCAATCTCAGAGTAGGGTTAACTTAGATTGGTTAAGCCATTTTTAGACCAATCTAACCTTCCTGGAACATCTGTACCATTTGCACTTGGATCAACCTAACTAGGGAATCTAAGTATAAAGTCCGAACCTGGGCAAATTAAATTAGATCAGATGGCAATTGTTAACATGGTCTAATCTTCCCTCATTCCTCCCAAGTGTCTGCACACACCCTCAGCGGGTTAATATGGAAAGTAATGTATTTGCAATACCTGGCCCAAGTGCAGTGGTTCTAGATCAGTGGTTCTCAACATTTTTAGACTCAAGATACATCTCAGAAATGCCAGGTTAGTTTTCACTTTTTTCCCCCCTTTGATTCTTGCAAAGAATTCAGAAAGACCATGATGGGTCAGAACTCTTTAATCATTTGAAATCTTTGCATATCTTATGAATCACCTAATAGTGCTAACATAGCACAGCATCCTGCAGCACCTTTGAAAAGATCACAAAGCAGCTCAGGGTGCCGTGGATGGCCATTGGCTACGGCACTCTGGTTGAGAATCACTGTCTTAGATGATGTAAAGCTGGGTAATGTCAAGACTAGAAGATCATCCGTCTGTAAGGAATGCCCTGTTTATCTAGGCAAAAATCAGAAGGTTGCAAGAGTACCAAGACATCTTATGCTTTGATTAAAAATCAAAAGCTTGTGAAAATTTTAGTCAGTGTTGTAAGAGAATTAGAACAATCAAAAATAAAGATATATGCTACTATTACTTTTCAGTAAAAATACAGGCAGTTCTCGACTTACGACTTTTCAAGTTGTGACGAACATCAATTACATTTATAAATTAACACCCTGTTTCGATGTGGGTTTTGTCTTTACAATGGTCCATACTGCATGCAGCTAGTAAGTGGTGGAAGGGGAGGGGGAAGGGAAGGGGATTGGGGGAGG